TTTACAAGATCAATTCGGATTGGCTCTGGTTCGTTTAGAAAAATGTGGTTCGGGGGGACTATATGTGGAGCAATTCGGCATAAAATTGATACCGACACCTCAGAATTTGGTAACCTCACCTCCATTAACAACTACTTATGAATCCTTTTTCGGTTTACACCCATTATCTCAAGTTTTGGATCGAACTAATCCATTGACCCAAATAGTTCATGGGAGAAAATTAAGTTATTTGGGCCCTGGAGGACTGACAGGCCGCACTGCCAGTTTTCGGATACGAGATATCCATCCTAGTCACTATGGACGTATTTGCCCAATTGACACATCTGAAGGAATCAATGTTGGACTTATTGGATCCTTATCAATTCATGCGAGGATTGGTCATTGGGGATCTCTAGAAAGCCCTTTTTATGAAATTTCTGAGAGGTCAACCGGGGTACGGATGCTTTATTTATCACCAGGTAGCGATGAATACTATATGGTAGCGGCAGGAAATTCTTTAGCCTTAAATCGGGATATTCAGGAAGAACAGGTTGTTCCAGCTAGATACCGTCAAGAATTCTTGACTATTGCATGGGAACAGGTTCATCTTCGAAGTATTTTTCCTTTTCAATATTTTTCTATTGGAGCTTCCCTCATTCCTTTTATCGAACATAATGATGCGAATCGAGCTTTAATGAGTTCTAATATGCAACGTCAAGCAGTTCCTCTTTCTCGCTCCGAGAAATGCATTGTTGGGACTGGGTTGGAACGACAAGCAGCTCTAGATTCGGGGGCTCTTGCTATAGCCGAACGCGAGGGAAGGGTCGTTTATACCAATACTGACAAGATTCTTTTAGCAGGTAATGGAGATATTCTAAGCATTCCATTAGTTATATATCAACGTTCCAATAAAAATACTTGTATGCATCAAAAACTCCGGGTTCCTCGGGGTAAATGCATTAAAAAGGGACAAATTTTAGCGGATGGTGCTGCTACGGTTGGTGGCGAACTTGCTTTGGGGAAAAACGTATTAGTAG